ACATGCCTGCTCAAGTCGACGACGATCGAATCTGCTACCCGTTCGTCATTAGAAATCTAGCAGGCCTTAGATTGTACAAAATTCTGCGATAGTATAAGCTGGGTCATGCGGATGTTTCCGATTAGGCTTTCTCGAGCAATCCGCGCTCCTTCGCCTCGTGAAAAATGGAAGTGGCAGATCTCCATATTCTTCTTCTGTTCCTGATCGAGCATGTCGGCGACTGCAGGCAAGCTTTCATATGAGATAGCCATATTGATCCTTTGTCAATCTATATAGTAGGTCAGCGTCAGAACATGCGCTCGGAATATCACTGACCTGCTCGTCGTTTGTCTCGGTGCGAGCAATTTGTCGAGATTCCCAGTATCGCAGCTCACGCGGTGTGAACGGAAGCATCCAAGGATGCAATTGTTCCATTTCTCGACGTGCAACCTCGTCAATCCTCGAAGCCACAGCTTCTCTGATCGTCTTGCACGTCGTTGCGAAATGAAGAGCGCTACGCACGTCGATACGATCGACGATACGTTGAATTATTTCTATGGGCAAATCATCGAATAACGATCCGGTTCGAACCTCTTGACCACGACGAAAAGAAGTAAATGCGCCAAGAGGATACTCTAGGAGCTGGACCCTGTATAAATCATTTCAAAACCTCGATTTCATGAGGTGGTGCTATGTCTTCCCGTCTTACCTGTCAGGAGGCTGCCAAGCCCAAGCCTCGGAGATGTCTCGAATCTCGTCTCGAATGACGAGGTCGACGCCTTGCCCAGCGATAGAGCGCTTCACGGCGGCAGACAGTCTCTCTTTGAAATTGTCCCGTCTTTCGTGCAATGCTCCCAGTGGTCTGGCCCACTGTTCGTGCAAGTGCTCTACTTCGATATGATCAAGCCATTTGAATGACCGACATGTTGCTCGCTTTCCACGCAATTGCGCTTGACATGCGATCGCCTTGGTCCCCACCAACCAGAATGCTCTAGGTGTCATGCGCCCTACGTGACCAGTCTTCTGAGAGTAGGCTATCTCAACACCTTGTAATAGTTCCCAGCAGCGGGAATGAACGAGAAAGCCTCCTACACAGGCAGACACCTCGAAAGAATGCGATCCTAGTCGAGCCCAGTCTGTCTGAACCTCATCGAGGTCAACGGTCCTTTTCGCGCCGCCGGGCACTCTGTACACCGACTTGCCTGACTTTCTTATGACGTAACGGTCGTCAAAGGCCTGATGATATGCCAGTCCACCGATCAGACACACATTCTCCGCACTAGAATTGTCGCTGGATAGGCTGGTGTCGAGATCTATCTCCTCGAATACTTCCGCGCCATTTTCTTCTATCCCTGGATATCGACCGATGGCGGCAAGGTCCATGTGGAATTCTTGACAGGCACCGCTGTCGACGAAGCTCCACGATGCTTTCTCATCGTTGTCATTGGGTCGGAAGAAGCGCAAGTCATTATCGTAGACTTGCGTTCGTTCTGCATAATCAAGGATGAGAGTCTGCTCGAAAGCATCGACAATGGCCGGAGTCAGACCACAGATCTTTTGTGTATGACAGAGAGTAAGCGAGGCATCAATCATGGGAATGATTGAGGATGCTCACCACGCATATTTCGTCCCAGCCCATGTTGTGCCAAAGATGTTTCGTATAGAGAGAGAGGCCTTCTCAGCCAAGTTCAAGAGGTTTTATTGAGCAAGCGCGATTGTGCTCAGCTTCCTCACAGCTTCTTGCAAGTGCTCCGATTAATATCAAATTTCAACGATTACACCCACACGTCAACTCGAGAGAAATCATTCTTAAGAAGGCTTCCAAGAAATATATGAATTAGCAAGCTGCCATCTCAAATCCCACAGCTTACAAGAAACTATGACGCCTGAATAAGCACGTGTCATATTTCATCCAGACTCCGCATTGCACAGCATCATCATGGTTAGCACGTCAATTGGCTTTGCGCCTCAAAGGTGAAGCCAAGGATAAGTCAGGAAGGCGCGATTTCGTCGATCCAGACGACGATTCATCGGTTAGTAATTCGTCCCGGCAAAGCTCGGTACAAGTGAGTCAATACTGTCTCTGGACTATTTCCACCCACTGACATGTACATCAAAATCGCGCCTTTGGTGTCTTAGAATCAATTTCGCAATCTCCTCAATGGCAGAGACAATTGTTACTGCGTGGCCACAGGCCAAATTGATGTGTTTGGGGCCAGCATCGAGGCTTGTCACATTCTTCCCAAGTCAAGAGGGGATGAAGTGAGAGAGACGACAAGACCATCTTTATTCTAGCTTTTTAACTTGACTAATGTCCTCTTTCTTCCCGACAGCTCATCCGTGAAGTATCGGGCGACAGCACTATGAGCATTGACGACATCACGAACGGGTTTATGCTTTTGAGAACGCTTCACAAGACTTTCGACCGCTTCGAATGGAGCGTGTATGTCGAAGTGAGATGAGTCGAGAAAAAGGCCACGAGAGGCTGTTGTCATAAGTTCGTGGACGATCGGTGACTGACCTCTTCAGACAATTTTTTTGCGATAGGGAGACTCATTCATAATACACTCTTTCGTCGACAACATATGCTTCAAGGATGCCCATGGAAGGCGGATGTTCCAAGCTGAAGGCGAAGAATTCCGACGCTCAGGCGTCAACCCTCTCTTTGTGAGTCAAGCTCTCAATGAGATACTAACTCATAAGAATGAGCTTTTGCTGATTTTCTTCTCAGCTTACATGGCACTATGAGCAGTGCGTAAAGGCCAGGCTACGTCCCCACACTGAATTCTCTTGATCAGTCCCGGAATTATACCCTTATACATGAAGGAAACATGTGTCCCAGATCTAGCCCAATTTGAGGACGTGATCCTCTTATTGAACACCACGAAAAGGCACATCTCTCGATCTTCTTTTCCATGGTCGAAGTTGGCCCACCAGCCATGACAGGCGCGCAGCCAGGTCTCAATTCGGTTGAGGAGCTAGTCTACTCGAAGGCTGCACACGCGGCTTTCCGGTAGCTGCTTCCCTACAACGGTCGACTCGGTCACTCTCACTGTCACAAGAGAAAGGTGACCCGAGAAGAAAGAGAAAGAGAA